TTTTTTTTTTTTTTCAGTTCTTTTGAAACCTTTGTCAGTAAATTTTCTTGGCTGAGTGAAGAACTTTCTTTCTGAACTGTGGGACAGAATTTATTTTCTTAATTGCTAATATGTCGATCAAGGGGCTCTTTGATATTTGAAGATATTTGACGATTGAAATATAGAATTTGTAACAGAGGAATAGAAATGTAAGAGACAGGGAAAAATTTATAATATAGTAAAGGACGCAGATTTTTATGTATTTAAAATTAAAGGAAAATTTCTGCAACTGCATCAAACAATTCCAATTCTAGCGTTGAAAATAAAAAAAATTTATTTCTCAGACTCTTTCAAGAATCGATTATTTGCCGTGTAATAAAATTAAGAAGGACTAATCTTAAAAATTAAAATTAAAAATCAATAAAGATACAAAGCTGATCGACACAATTATATATAACGTACCATATGATACAATAATGAATATAATTGCACACATATGATTCTAATATCAAGCTTCATGTTGTTATACAGTTGAGAAATTGCAGAAGAGTTGATTTTGATTTAATTGAAAATTTTACGATTAAGAAAATTAATAAGAAATGAGCAATTTCACTTCCGTGCACGATTATACGTAAATTATATTACAATAAAAAATAATAATAAACATAATTGTACATGTACGATTTTAATGTTAGGATTTATGTTGTCAATTAAAAAAAGAAGCATGGAAGAATTAATGTTGAAGAAGAAGAGAGGGAACAAATACCCATAATTAATGGTATTTGTGCTATCGTTCGTGAGGAAACGGCACTTTCTAGCGGCGAAAGATGATCATTTCACGAAATTCCTAACGCGTGTTAATCGGGTCATGCGATGCCTCCCGATCAAAAATTCACAGCGTGTTCCGAGTCGAGAGATAGTAGTCTACTGGGAGCTACTTGTTCGAGTATCCAACGAAATGGCCCCTTTAGAGAATCCGTGGATAAGAAGCCATCGAGGAAGATTTAACCGGTGGATCTTTTCAAGTTTAGACGAAATCGCCGTGCTGGAAGATTCAGGGACTTTTTAAATAAAGAAGAAAATTTATCGTTTGATTTGATTAGATTCGTAACAATTGTAATATGATATTATAATATTATGTTATTATAATTATAAATATAATATAACATTAAGTATATAAATGTAATTTATGATAATATGAATATTTATTTACTGCAAATATATACTTAGTGAATGATTAATATATAACATGAACAGGCATGTTAAAGATTATTCCACTATGTGAATTGAAATTTATTAATAATGACGGATAATTGATTTAAATACATCTTCGAGACATGTATACTAAGTAAATAAGTACAGAAATTCAAACATATTGATTATATTAAAGAGCCACCATGTATTCAATGAAACTATCTTTCAAAAATATTTAAAATCTTTGACTGAGAACTGTCAAAGTAAAAGCTTCACGCTTCGGAATGAAGTGAAATATATATTATCATACAATCTTCTTTCACCAAGCTGCAGTTTAAAGTGTAGACAATTTCGAGTGTCTGAAATATGTATCTTTCTTTTCGTGCATTGGAACAATAATTCTAATTAGAAGATCGCAGATTACGTTTAAAAGTTCTTAAAGAAACAAAGAAATCCACGTAGAAACTTGTTCCATTTACTTAAATACCTCACGTTACACATATTTCATACACTTTCGCGTTATTCTGCACGTCGTGCGCAACTTCCAGTTTCTCAATAAATGCATAAAAATCCGCAGTCCAGCGGTAATAAATCGCTTCTACGTAATTGGACGCAGAACGTGCCAATGGGTAATAAACGTAAATGTCAGCGTGTGAGGGGATTCTACATAAATCTCTAAGAGAAACAGAGACAAATAGAGAGAGAGAAGAAGAAGCAACAAATTTGAAGTAACCGAGGAAGCGTGTTGGAAAATTGGGCTATATATATATAGAGCTTGCCTCTATAATGTATAT